GAGAGAGAGAGAGAGAGAGAGAGAGAGAGAGAGAGAGAGAGAGAGAGAGAGAGAGAGAGAGAGAGAGAGAATGAGTTCGTACGCAGACTACAGGCAGATGTGTCTGAATGGAGTGCTGATTGCGTCCAGATTTAGACACATCTGCTGCAAATGTCGTTTCGACCTGCGCCTAGTGCCACTTTACCTTTCTGGACCGCGGACTGCTGCTGTTTCCTTCGCCCTTTCAAACTTTTCCTGTTCCCTGGTATGGCGCCTCCACCCCCGCCCCCACGCGGTTTCCATTTTGAAATTTACAACTCAAGGACCACTCAAGGACCACGCCCTCCTACGACCATTTACCGGTCCTCCGCTAGCAACAACTGCCTGGCCCCCTGGAATTGCCCCCCAACAAATTCACGGCCCAAACGACGAAAAGCTGACTCAGGTGTATAAAAACGGAACTCTGACGGGCTGCGAACATTCAAAATCAGGGTGCATTGTGTCCGGGGTGATTACAGTAGTGCCTAACACTGTGGCCAGTTACTGCGCTTCCCCTTTCCCGTCTGCCCAGCCATCCTTGATGATAGAAAATATTGACTTACCGTGAGCGCACGGGTGCGCAGCCCGTAGTTTGTATATACTTGATTGATAAAGGAGGCATTATTGGTGAGGTTTAGAAGTATGCACTTGCAAACGCAATGCAGGTGTGTCGTTTCAACCTGCGGCCAAGGCCGCACCCTTTCCAGTTCAGACTTTTCCACTTTTCCACCCTGCCGCTGCTTTGCCACCGTTTCGACCAAAACCCAGCGCATGGTCCCACGGGCAGCTACAGGTCCTGCATTTTTCAAAGAAACTGCCACCCCCCCCCAAAGTTCCCCCCTGCCGCTGCCTTGCCACCGTTTGGACCAAAACCCAGCGCGCGATTCCACGGGCAGCTACCGCTCCCGCATTTTTCAAAGAAACTGTCACCACCCCCGAAAGTGTCCTGCCTGCACCTGCCTGCATATTTCGAACCTTCCAATGAGCCCAAATCAACGACTGGTATAACAAAGGACGACGAAAATGTCTCAGGGGCAAAATGTCTCAGGGGGGAAAAAGGCACCCCTGACGGGCTGCGAACACAGTGCACTGCGCTGTCTGCCATCCCCTACCCACCTCTCTCTACCTCTTTTCCTTGTGTTTTGTGCCTCGGCTGGGCCTGTCTGTCTGTCATCCCCTCCCCACCTCTCTCCACCCCTTCTCTGGTGTTTGTGCCTCACCGTAGGTTCGGCTGTCTGTCATCCCCTTCACACCTCTCTCCACCCCTTCTCTGGTGTTTGTGCCTCACCGTAGGTTCGGCTCTTCTGGGCTTGTTCTGAACTTTCGAAGCTATAATATCTGCTAGCAGCTATAGAAATAGTGCAGGCTTAGTCTGCCAAACATCTGCCAGGGGCCGAGTACTGGTAGTGGGAGTGATACGCGCAGCCTCCACATAGTTGTCCATCATGGCTCCTATCCATTGGAGGGAAGCATCACCTGCTGGGAAATGGGCCCTGCGTCCCTGATTTTAGTTGATTCATCCTGAACTGCTGTCTGCTGGAGCTGACGTCGGAGATCCATTCTTTTCTTGTGTGTTACGTAGGGCCCTCGCTGCTGTAGTGACGAGATGTGCGAAATGGAGAACGTATCTTCAGGGACAAGGTGATGAAAACATAACACACTCGAGGGATACTTTTTGTCCTTTTCACATTGGCTTAGTGGTTCGGTGAGGCCCTGGGCAGGACCACGCTCGAGGGAATCACAGCTGGCAGGGTGGGAAACGCCACGGGGGACAGGCGTAAAGGGCATCGGCCGTCCAAGTCGCTGAACGAGATAAACCTCCTTTATCCGCAGTGGCGCCACGTCCATCGAACCCGAAGATCTTTTTAGGTCTGCATTTCCTTATCTTCGGTGCTTTTCTGCTTGCTTTTCTGTGCTTTTTAACCTTTTTATAACTTTTTGTTTCTGTTTCCTCCTTGTCGTTTGCACCCTTTTCTCAACGCCAACTCTTTTTTTTTTTTTTTTTTTCCAACGCCAATTCCATTCCAGGTTTTATCCATCGAGCATCGTCGAGGCGCCTCACGTTTTTGGACCACGGTTGCTCTCGCTAGCAGTAGCAGCTACCCCCGCCCCCCTCCTCCCCCTCTACCCTCTCAAGGCGTCCAACCTCCAACTCCCAAACTCCACGAGAGAGAGAGAGAGAGAGAGAGAGAGAGAGAGAGAGAGAGAGAGAGAGAGAGAGAGAGAGAGAAACAACTGCATTCAATCGCGCTGCTGCTTTTTCTCTTTACGGGGGGCGAGCAACGGCAACACACTACCACGCCGAACAGTCTCCTCTCTCTCTCTCTCTCTCTCTCTCTGTGTATGGGCCTCGCTCCACTAGTCTCGACATGCACAAGAGAGAAAAATCATGGCGCTGTATATTTCCATGTTCTAGCGGAAGATTCACTCTCGTTTTGTACATTTCTGTGCGTTCATCAGCCTCCTTGGGAACCAGTTGGTATACTCCTGAACTGTTGAATGAGATACTTAACTCCACTGGGAGCAGATGACTAAATAAACTACTGCAAATTATGTTTGTTTGTTTGGCGGGCGGACAGGGGCTCGTTCTCGTTTTTCGTTTTTTCGTTAGGCGCGCCCTTTCGGCCTCCCGCTCCTGACATCACCTTACATCACATCACCACCCCTCTTTTCGTTTAATCCCGCCACATCAACCGGCTGCCGCCATCTGAGCCGCGACAGCGGGCCTCGGTGGTATGCAGTGGGGGCCGCTCGTGGATTAGAGCGGACACGAGTGATCCCAAGCGTCACAGGAGCAACAGGAGGCGCTGAGAGAGAGTGGTTGGATGGTTGGACCCATCTGTCCGACCCATCTGTCTCTACGGCGGTAGTTCCGAAAAATTGGAACCACCCCGCCAGTTTTGCTTCGGTTGGCGACGGCGCTGGATTTCGCGCCGGCCATCGGAAACCGGCGCCGCCATCGCCAGCAGCTTCCAACTTCCAAACAGTCCAACAATTTCAACTTCCGAAGAGCAACCGCTCCCCCTCCCGCTCCCGCTCCCGCCCCCGGCCTCCTTTTCCCCAACCCAGTTAGTTTCGTTCTTATTACCCCAAAGGCGGCGGCAGTACCTTAAAAAAGGAGTGAGGCCGCACCTCAGGGACGAAGGAGGCGGGAAGTAAACAAAGGAAGAGGTTTGTGTGCAGAGGGCGTGCTCAGTGGTGGCTCTGTCTGTCTCGAATTGGAGTGGACGCGGGACTGCAGCGGAAGAGAGAGGGACAGAGAGAGAGGGAGTGAGGGAGGGAGAGAGCGAGCGAGCGGCGCGGCGCGGCGGCTGTAGGGCCGCAGGACAGTCCGTGGCCCCGTCCGCGACATCTCGCCATGGAGGCTCTGGCGGCTTCTGCCGCCGCCGCGTGTGCGCAAGCGCCCTGCGCCGCAGCCGTCTCCGCCGCCGCCAGCGCACGAGGTGGCAGCGGCAATGGGGATGCTGGTAGCTCGGTGCGATGTCGCTCTTCCTCGGCGGCGAGATTGGCGGTGAAGTTCGTGGGCGGTGGAGGCGCAATTGGGGGTTCGTCGGCGCGCCTGCATGCGCTGGAGGGGCACTCGTGCGCCGCAGCCGCCGCGCGTTCACCGGAGGTCTTTGCCTGCGCGTCTGCCTTCCCCGCGGCGGGCGCCGGAGCTACCCCCGCCTTCCACCTGTCATCTTCCGCGTCCCTTGCGCCGGGCTTGAGCAAATGGGCAGCGCCAACGACGTCGGGACGAGTGATCAGACGCAGGGGTGGGGAGAAGGTCTCCGGCGCGCGGGCTTCCGCCGCCGCCGCCTCCGCCGACTTCGCCGCTGGCGATGGCGCGCCGACTTCCTCCGCCGCCACCGCTTCTCTCTCCGCCCCCGCTGAGGCCAAGTTCTTTGGCATTGGCACCAAGACCCTCAAGAAGATCATCCCTCTCGGCCTTATGTTTTTCTGCATTCTCTTTAATTACACCATTCTGCGCGACACGAAGGATGTGCTTGTTGTCACGGCGGCGGGAGCGGAAATCATCCCCTTCTTAAAGACATGGGTCAATCTTCCCTTAGCCATCGCCTTCATGTTTCTCTACGCCAAGATGTCCAATGCTCTGTCACGAGAGGCGCTCTTTTACGCCACTCTCGTCCCCTTCATTGCCTTCTTCGGCGCCTTCGCCTTCTTTCTGTACCCGCTGAAGGGTGTATTGCATCCGGAGGCGTTTGCAACAATGCTGCTGAACTTCGCCGGGCCAAGATTTGCGGCTCCCATCGCGATCTTGAGGAACTGGACCTTTGCGCTCTTTTACGTCATGGCGGAGCTCTGGGGGAGTGTTGTCGTCTCGGTTCTGTTCTGGGGTTTCGCTAATCAGGTAGGTGGCCGAGATCCCGACCCGATTGCTTGGTCCGCGTGACCGCGTGGGTGTGGTAATCAGTACTGTGACCTGTGATGGACCGAGGAGATCGTGTGGGTGTGGGGATATGAGACGTGTCACGAACTCAAAAGTCGTGCGCGCGGATTCTGATTCTTGTGGCCTATGTCATTGTATCTTTCCTGCACTACTGTTTTGTCCCCGAATAGAACGCACGGTCATTATGGCTGTCTGAGTCCTGGGCGCGGGGGGGGGGGRGGGGGTGTGAACTGCCTTCCTCTCTAATACCACGGAGGATCGTTATGGCTGTATCTGTATCTGGGGCAGTTTTCCGTCCAGATACGGCCGTAGTGACCATGCGCTCTATTCGGGGGGGGGAGGACGGATTCGCGAACGGGGAGGTGGGCGAGATCCCGATTGCTGGCTGAGGCACTTGTGATGGATGGATGGATGACGTAAGAACGAAGAGCCACCGTCAGCTCGCTGATCCTGCTTGCAGGCTTGTCAATGTACGCCCTGCTCTATTGTCTTCCCCCCGAATAGAGCGCACGGTTCTTCATAGCTGAATCTGCATGTGGGGCAGGTTCCGGTCTCGATACGGCGGTAATGACCATGCACTCTATTCTGGGGAAGACGGTACGAACGTTCCCTTCGTTGCTGATTTATGTGTCCTGTAGCCTTGTCGTCGTTTTACGTTCACATGCAGCTGGGAAGAGCAGTTAGCTCGCTCACACTCAGTCAGACTCAGTGTGACTTAGAGCCAGGGCTACGTAGTCTCTCTCTCTCTCTCTCTCTCTCTCTCTCCATATCTCGAGCTCAGTCAGTCTTTGGAGAGTATGTGAGTATGACCTGAAAACTGAGCGAAGTAGTAGGTTCCAGGGACAGGGACCGAAAGAACGAGTGGATGGCATACGAACGAGTGGATGGCATGGAGTGAGCTCTCTGATGTGGGAGTGAGTTCTCCGATGTTGTGTGTGTGTGTTTGTGTGTGATGTGTGTGTGTGTGTGTTTCAGTGTGTGTGTGTGTGTGTGTGTGTGAGAGAGAGAGAGAGAGAGAGAGAGAGAGAGAGAGAGAGAGAGAGAGAGAGAGAGAGAGAG